CTATTGATTAATTATTGCTTTGATGATAAGCGCTAATAAATCATTTCATCCATATTTCAATGAATCAAAATGCTATTAATTTTTAAATGACCAAAATAAATTATCATATTTTTTATAGAATTGACAAATGTTTTTTTTCTTTTTTTTCTTTTTTTTCGTTTCTTTTCTTGTGTTTTATAATATTGTAAAAATTTAATGAATTTTTTTTTCAACCTTTTTCGTCCAAATGATTCCCATTTAACTTTTAAGAGATCACCCAATAAACCATCAAGAAGTTGTAGATGTTTTGTTGTTTCCTGAATGAAATTAAAAGCAAAACATCTGTTTAATTGTTTATCGAAGAATTTTTTTTAAAAAGAATTTTACAATGATAATAAATTGATATATTTTTTTTGCTGGTTTTTCTCTTTTTTTCCTTTGTTTATAATGAAATACTGAAAAGAAACGAGAATAATTTACTCCGTAAACGATTAATGAAAGAGCACTGTCGTCATTAAGTTCACCGGTTTCCTGATTAATTGTATCCAATTTTGCAAGTGGATAAGCATAACTGCTTGCGTCACCGTATATCCAAATTACGTTTGCTTCCAATTTTAAAATTTGTTCAAACATCTACAAATCATTATTACTCGCAGTTCTCTCTGTGCTTGCTTTCTCGATTTCGTATAATTTAGACAACAAATGACCATATTCAAACATTCTAAAGTTAAAATTTAAATATCGAACTTGATTAAAAATAATGGTTAGACCGAGATATAATCTAATTTCTGAACTGCGATTGTAAATGATTTTCGTAAAACAAGTACCAAAGGTTTGATATTACAAATTTTTTTTTCAGAAACTTGATTTTTGAAACTTTTTTTTTTTTTCAAAATGATGACTTCATCACTTATCTCTTTTTTTGCCAAATGAGCTGCCAATGTTAAGGGTGTCAAATTCTGATTATTCATCGATTGCAATTGAGCACCCGTATCGTAACAGAGTTTTAACATTTCCTAAAAATTTCGCAATCTTTCAATAACATTTGCTAATCGATAAATTTAACAATATATTCCTTTCAGTATCTCGAACTTTTGTAAATTAAATAAATAAAATTCTTAGAAAACAATGATTCTGAGAGAAAAAGAAAATCGAAGATAAAGTTCTCAAGGATTAATACAATATCGATTCGTAAAAAAAACTATGAGTTACTTTTTTTTTCAAAAAAAAAAAAGGAACTGAAATTTGTAATTAAGTAGATAAATATATAAATCAAGTATAAAATTAGCACTTACTGATAGTTCATGAATTACAGCCAGATGAAGTACTGTATTACCGTTTGTATCTTTTCGATTTGGATCAGCATGTTTTGCAATTAAAATACGATAGCAATCAGCCTGATTGATGCATGCAGCAAATGATAATGGATATTCACCAAAATACATTCGACTATAAATGTAATTCACTTATTGTTTAGGTAAAATTGTTTAGGTAAAATTGTTTAGGTAAAATTGTTTAGGTAAAATTGTTTAGGTAAAATTGTTTAGGTAAAANTTTAATAAGCTTACAAAAATCATATACCGTAAATTTATCGAAATTTAACCTACAATCCATTTAAATCAGTTTGTAAATATCACTATTGCTGAATATTTTTAGAATTACGTAGCTTACTTTTAATCAAATTTAAATGTCAATTGCTTAAACTGTACTCGTCAAAGAATCCTTAACCTTAATAATGCATTCATTAAATGAAAAATTTTCTACCACATTGATCTTTTTTTGTTGTAATAAATTTCATATGAGGTGATAAAGTATTGTAATTAGTTTCTAAACTAGTAAATTTGTTTGCAAAATTTTAGCTTTTGTTTTCACAGAAACAAACATCCATTCTGTCAGTATGAAAGGATTAATTGAATTTTCTACCCGTTATAAGCAGTTTTTAAACTGAGATCAACATATTCATGTTCTAACGAATCGGTACGACTGCTTTTTTGATCATCAGGACAAAAAAAAGCCCCGTAGCAACGTTGATTAATATCAGCACCATGTCGAAGTAGGAATAATACCATGGCAGGATCTTCATTAATGATTGCTTGATGTAAAGGTGAGAGACCTGTAAGGGAAATTTTAGTAGAAATGAAATTCACTGCTTAATTTATTTCACTAAATAACGATTAATGTCTTTTCTTTTTGAAAATACACTTCGAGCTATATTGGATATAATAAATAAATGACTCAAATTTGAGTTAAATTTGGAGCAAAATCGAAACGAATTAAACAGATTAAAATAGAATGCAAAATTCAACATTTAATTTATTTCACTAAATAACGATTAATGTTTTTTTTTTTTTTGAAAATTCACTTCGAGCTATATTAGATATAATAAATAAACGATTTAAATTAGAGTTAAATTTGGAGTAAAATCGAAACTAATTAAACAAGAATCACAATTAACAGTACTACTTTCAGTATAATAATAATTGATGTAAAAATTGCCATAATAATCTTCGCTAATGAATATATCATTGACAAGTTTTGGATAAGCTTTAATTAATTTCATCGCAAGCTGATTATGAATAGCTGTTCCCTGCAGGAGACAAACACCAACGAGATTCTCGCCCATTAAACCACGCTCCTCCAATTTCCACGTTACCTCACGATATTTCCATTCCGATTTTCCACGTTTGTCTTCACCTTCGAGTAATTTAAGAGCTGAAAATATAATAAAATTGTGTAAAATTATCAAAAAAATAATGTCCATTAAGAAATTAAATGGTTAGTAATCAATTAACTGAAATGATAATTTAATTATTCATATTTATTTTTTTCTGCAAATTGCTCAACATAAAAATCAATATTTCATTCATTGATTTTATGTTATGCTATTTGCAAAAATTATAAGTAAATTTTATTTCATCCACAAAACTTTTAATTAAATTCAGGGCTATCATTTAGATACTTAATATTTTCAAAAATGCTTTATGAATTGAATTAATTAAATTAACAGATACCTTTTTTCAAATCACCCTGATTTTCACCCTCTTGTCGAAATTCATCGAGAATATTTGGCCCACTTTTTCCTTTACCTTTCTTACGCTTCAAAGCACTAAGCATAGCATTCCGCTCTCTATTTCGAATTCTCACTAATTCAGCTACCGCTACCATTTTACCTTTTCCGGAATTGTACATAAACTCTTTCAGCTGAAATATCCCCATTCTTTATCTTTATAAATGAGATTAAAATGCTATTTGTTAGTAAAACTTTAAAGTTGAAATATTCTCAAAACTATATATGCAAAACGTTCTGCAACTTCTTCTAATTTTATCACTATTAATTTAATTGACAATTTAAGCATTATTAATTTTACTGATAATTACAATTTCACTCAGCTTTTTCATCTAACAATTTTAAATAAAAACAATAACTTCTATCCAAAAAAAAAAATGATTTCAAATTCGAATGGTAGATGATGATAAAATGATTGTAAAATAGATATTACCATATGTGATAGAAATGATAAAATCGTGCAAATGAACCTTTGTCTCGATGAATTCATCAATGATCGTTGAATCACCTGTCTTTTTAGCATGTTTCATCCACGGTATTAACTCACCACCACCATACATATCAACAAGTTGATAAAGTTTCGGTGTTGATTTTCCTTGTTTACGAACTCCATCACCTTCTGTTCCCGACGATTCACCATTTCCCATTTTTTTTTTTTTTTTTGTCCTTGAGCAATAAGTTATCTGCAAAGTATTGTGTAATTTCAGGAGAGAGTTTTTTAAACATCGGAATGTTTTGCAATCCTCAACTTTGAAGTATTTTTCCGAAGAAATATTCGACGCTGTTCAAAAAAAAAAAAAATTAACCAAACGGTATGTTACTTCTATATTTGACATATTCAAAAATTTCATTTAATTTTATGGGAACTATAAAGATGGCGCAATTTTTTAAAACTTGTTGTGTGGATTTTTTTTGTGTTATTTGAAAATTGAATACTTTATTTCTATTTTATTTTTCATGATCTGTTGGTTTTTAATTAGCAAAATGAACTAATTTTCTCGCCAAAAACTATCGGTGGATTAATTAATTCTTTAAAATAAAATTTTTTTTTGAAAAAAAAAAA